GCCCTCCTGGGCTTGTCACCAGTCGCGCGCCCTCCTCGCCCGGGTCGGCCACCAAGCGGTCCAGCCTGCTGAAGAGGCGCAGGACCGGTACCGGGACTCGAGCCCCCAGCTCTGAAGAGCTCGCAAAGTATGGATCCCCCAGGGACCCGGAGAGGATTGGTGATTTTTTGGTGTCTCTGATTGCCCCCAATGTCCCTTGGCTCCCAGCAAAAAGCCCCTCCTTTTCCTGTAGGTTTAGGAGCGATGCACCTAAGGCCAGCCGCATACTTTACCGGAGGCTGCCCTTCTGTAAGGCGGTCTCTCTCCCTTACTTTCAGCCTTGTGAGATAAGTACCGCTATCATCTTCAATTTCTAGCGACAGAAGCAGATGCCAAGAGAGATTACCTTACTTGCCAAGTTCAAGTAAACGCCTGGCACCTGTTTTATTAACCAAGACTTTCTAGTCTTCCCCAAATACGTATGGGATGTTTGATCTGGATCGGAGGCGTGGGGAGGCCCCAGGCCCTTCTAAGACTCACCATCCCCATCCCTGGGGAGGAGAGAGTCTGGGAAGGTGTGCCAGGCCATGGGGCCATTAGCACTGAGCTTCCAAGGTCGCAGGCAGGACTGAAGGGAAGGGTTCTGAGCAGTAGGCGCTGCAAGGGCAAAGACAGGGGCTGGCTGCAGTGGAGAGCTGGGGAAGGGAGAGCCTGCAGACCTTGAGGGCGGGAGGCCAGCTGGAGAAGCTGGATAGGATAGCTCCTGAGTGGCTTTGAATGCATATCAGAGGCCTTTGGCCTTATTCTAAGCTCTCTGGAGGGCAGTCGAGAATTTGCTTTAAGTCCCTTTGACTATGACCAATATCTTTTTACTATGAAAACAATTCAGACATTGCCCAAAGGAATAATGATAATAATAAAATGTGCGCCTTGTCCTCAGCACCCAACTATCACAATGTTGCCAGTCTTTTTTTTTTTTTTTTTTTTTAAAAAAAGAATTGTTGTTGTTGTTGTTGTTGTTGAGACTCTACACAGTTAAACATACACGAAGCCAACAGTTTCTACATGTACTGTTTAGTGTCATTGATGGCATTCTTCACGATGTACAACCACTCACACCCTCCCCCCGGAGTTCCTCCTTCACCACTGTGTAAACTCACTGACCCCCCTAAGCTTCTTATCAAATCTTTCCAGTTGTGGGTATCAATTTGATCCCATATCATTAGTTCCTAAAGATGCGAATTCTCTAGGTATGTAATTTTTACAAGTTCGGCTAAACTATTGTTTGGTTTTAAAATGACTTCATTTTTTTAATCTAAGTTTTCACCACGGAATCCCAGGGTAAAAGCAGGGCAATAGTGTTAGGGCTAGAGTCCAGGAGCATTGGAAATTCGGTTTTGCATTCCCTCCACTTTTGATCAGGGTTTGTCTATGAAATCCTCGATCAAAATGTGCATCTGGGCACCATCAAGTTTTTCTCATCTCATGGCAAAGGAGGCAGTGGTTCATGGAGGCATGTAACCACATGTTCCAAATCTGCCTTTCCTTTCTCTGTGGCTACATGTGAATGGAAACCAACTCTTAGGGCTTGGACAGCTGCTTGCAAGCTTTTGAAGACCCAATGAATTAGGTCGAAGTAGGACAGAAGCACTAAGCTAAAAACTAGGCCAATTCACTGGGATGTCCCATCAAACTGTGACCTCCAACCCAAGGAACCAAACCCCACGAGGTACATACACAGCCACAGCAGCTACCTTTATTTTTGTGGTTGCCATGGTCACAGCTCTATCTCCCCCATGTTGCTGTTAGGTGCCTCCATGTTGGGGTTAACTCAGTGCAACAAATAAACGAAAAAGACGGCCTGCTCCTGTGCCACCCTCGCCCCTGTTGTTAATGCTGGAGCCCATAGTGGGAGCCACTATGCCAGTCTGTCTAGTTCAGGGTCTTGTGCTTTTTCACGGTCCCTGTGCTTTACCATCCATGATCTCCGTATTCAAGGACTGGTCTCTCCTGATAACATGTCTAAAGTAGGTCAGACAAAGTCTCGCCATAGAACATCTACCACATAACTTTTGTTAATTCAACCTGTTACAGGCATCCAACTGATAATGGCAGCACTTACAAGAACTGGCTGTGCAACCTTACCCTCAAGATGATTTTCCCCATCACGGAACACCGAAGGGAACAAAGATGGGGCTTTCTAATCCCACAAATCGTTACAGTCTCTGAAACCCACGGGGGAGGCCCCTAGAAATAGGCATCAAGTAGCCGGCCGCGAGAGGTGAACTGAAAAACAGTACTCCATAATGAACTAAGCCCCTTCCCCTTTATCCCTCCCTTCCACCCCTAGTAACCATTAATCAACTTTGGTCTCTATATGAGATCTTTGGCTTGAGGGGGGTGTCTTTTTTATACAAGTAGGATCACATGTTTTGCCATTCTTTTTCACAGATGGTTCTTAAACAGAACGATATAATGAAGCATCTGTCTTTCTAGGGTAGCCTTGGAGAAAGGCTGGAGTGGTGGGGGAGGGTCAAGCAGAAAGGCAGGGGTAGAAGGCATGATGGCTCTCAGTAAGGTGACACAGACAGGGCTGAGCTAAGACTTGTAGAGAGGCAGAACTGACAGTGGAAAGAGCCAAGGCTGAAGAGGTGTTGGATGTAGGAGGGTCTAGGAGGAGCAGGGGATTCTGGGTTGGTTTATGGGCTGCATAGTGATTGCTCTGCCCCCACCCCCACCCCTGATCTGGG